ACAGGCAAGAAGGGGCTGGAAAGAGGTATTCCAAGTCATGAAATCTAAAGACCTACATCCAAGATTGCTCTATCCAGCAAAACTTTCATTTAAAATGGAAGGACAGATAAAGTGCTTCTCAGATAAGATCAAATTCAAGGAGTTCATCATCACCAAGCCCTTATTATATGAAATGTTAAAGGGACTTATCTAAGAAAAAGAAGTTAAAGAAACATGAACAGTGAAAGGACAACAAACTCACAGTTATTAACAACCACACCTAAAACGAAAGCAAACTAAAAGGACAGCTAGATCAGGAGTGGAAACAGAAATGAAGATCTCAAGGAGGGTTAGCAACAGGGGAGTGGGAGGAAGAGAAGGGGGGAGAAGGTACAGAAAATAAGTAGCATAGAAAATAGAAGTAGATAGAAGATAGATGGGGGGGGCAAGAATAGCATGGGAAATATAGAATCTAAAGGAATTGAGACACATGGTCATAAACTAAAGGGGGGTAATGGTGGGGATGGGGGGTAGGGTGGAGGGGAATGAAGGGGGGAATAGAACAACTAACAGCATAATCAATAAAAAATTTTAAAAAATAAAAATAAAATAAAATAAAATAAAAATTTATTTGTCTTTAGAGGGGAAGGGAAGGAGAGGGGGAGAGAAATACCAATGTGTGGTTGCCTCCCATGTGTCCCCTGCTGGGAACTGGTCTGCAACCCAGGCATGTGCCCTGACTGGGAGTCTATAAAATATTTTTTAAAAAATAAAAGAATCACCCAAGTGACGAGGAAAGAAGACTTGACTTTGGGTGGTGAACACACAATACAATGTACAGAATTACACACCTGAACCCTATATAATTTTATTATATAAAATGTCACCCCAGGAAACACGATGAAAATTTAACAAAAGAAGAGGAAGAAGGACCCATCAGCAAACTCATGCGTAAACAGAAGCACGTACTTAGGCCTATTCAGATTTGTTTGGGGAGGTTCCCAAGGGCCTGTCACAGAAACTGTCGAGTTGAAGTTTAGTCTTTCTGACTGACAATGAAAGTGGGCCAGGTTTCATTCAAAGATGTCTGTGACTTGCAGTCTTAGGTAGTTGTGGGCATTCTGGACTTTTTTAGATCGTTTCTAAATTCCGTGACTCTGACTCATTAAAAAAAAAAGTCTTTTGAACTCTGTCCTGCACTGGTATTGCCGTAAGTCACAGTGTCTTCTGGTATTAGAATGGAAAATTTAATTATAAGAAAAAGCTTATGGTCTGGCTCAGAATGGAACTACTGTACCTCTTTAAGATAATGGTTACTATTTTTAGCCCAGCTTCAAAAGAGATGAGAGGAGAAAACTGATGCTTTTAATCTCCCTGCAGTGGTGTTAGCCTCAAGAGGTGCATCTCCTAAAATACCTAGTCACCCGATGGCTACTCCAGGCACAGTTTTGAAAATTCTATTAAAGATATTTTTAAAAATATTTGTTATAATAACTAACTGATGAAGTTGGCTCTTTCCATTCTTGTACAATAAACACAACAACTTACTAAACAAAAATAGATTTTCCGTATTAAAACTTGGTCGGAACGACGGTGCGTTCCGGGGCGCAGGATTCCTATGTGAATATTAATTCGAAGCAGACGGGCCCCGGGACCGAGGATGGGACAGCAGGCGCCGTCTCCCAGCGGCAGCCCCGCTGCAGGCGTGTGGTGAGCAACAGTGCTGGCTGCCTCGAAGTGCCTTTCTCTCCTTGTCATGAGAGGAAAACCGTAGAAATGCAGAGACTCGCGCCATCTGGGCTCACACTTTTGCACTCCAGACAAACCCCCCGAGGGACATTGCCCCTTTAAGGGAACAGGTAGACAGACCCCTTCCCTGGAGCGTGCGTGCGTCTGGTTGGTTTTCTCCTTCTCGGTCCCCTCTCCAGGCTGGGTCTCATGCACCTCACTGCTTATTTCAGTTGCTTCCATCGTTCACTTCTAGTGGTTCCTGGTGACATGTTAGAATTTCTGCAGATAAACAGTGTAAAAAGAACATCAGGAAACTATTATGTGCTTACAAAAGGAATCAGATGGCCAAAGCGTAGGCCTCGTTGGAGACCGGGGGTGGGGGAGGAAGAGGGCCACAGCCACTGCCACCCAGACGGTGCTGGGGCACCCCCACCGTGCTGGGGCACCCCCACAGGGCCGGTCTGCAGTCTCATCAGCAAAGCATTCCTTGGCTGCACGATGGATTCGTGGGCAGGAAGCGCGGTGGGCTCCTGTGGTCTCTGTGTGCACATGTGTAAACACGTACATGTGTGTACACATGATAATGTGTTCTGATCTCTGGTTCAGAACCGAGGCGTTTTACAAATTCCCCGAGGCACAATCATTCCTCCAAAACAAATCAGGGGCTGTCTGTCTCATTGCTCATGCATTCTTGTTTATGGAAGAAATGAACCCCCGCCCCCGCCCTGGATTTTTGTGTTTTTCTGAGGAAAGTTTGTGAATGAAACAGAGAATTTTTTAGACATCTGAGGTCTAAAAACTGGGAGTTTGCCTGTTTTTTTTTCCATATTCATAACAAAGTGACAAATGACAAAACTCCAGGTAGTTGAAAGGGTTCAGAGGGATTCATGCTGGTCACCGCAGAGGACCAGATGGAGTGGGCGCAGCGGGGGGACTGTGTGCACAGAAGGGGGCCCGGCCTCCGGGCGGCAGGGCCCCTAGCATTCAGGGGCCTGGGCGGTGGACACCGGAGCAGCAGAAGCCAAACAAAGCATATGGTCTCGAAGGGAACCCGCAGGCCGCCGACAGAGAGGAAGACTGTGGCGGTTGAAATCACCGAGGGGGGCTGACAAGTGGACCCCGTGGTTTTGAGGTACCTGACGGCCTTAAGGAACTAAACCACCTCCAGTAATGAGGAAATTCGTTTGGAAATATTGATATGGTTACCGTGGTTGGGGAAGCGTTTACGTGTGAATGCAGAAGAGGGTCAGGTCAGGTTCTTTAAGTGGCCACCTTGGGCTTTTAGCAGAACGCTTATGAGTCAGCCAGGCGAGGAAGTGAGAACCAGGTTAAGCCTGCAAGTCACAGAGGCAGGAAACCAGTGGAAAATGCTGCGATGCCCAACACCAGTAGGTGACGTTATCAACCATCAGGTGGAAAGGGGGTGAACCACCCCAGGGCGTCTTTTTAGGGCTTCCACTTGAACCTGTCTGTTTTTTCTTTTTCTATTTTTTTTAAACTATTGGGTTCAGTAAAACAGAACAAAAGCCAAACAAACAGCAAGTTTCCTTGGCTATGTTGGAACAAGGCCCTTTTCCTGTTGTGTTTTTGGCTCCTGTGGCAACTTGGCCGAGTCACCCGCAGGCCACGGCGTGCCTTCACCTGGCAGCGGCGGGTTTGCCTCCTGCGGGCCTCAGATGGTCTTCGAGATGCGTGAGCGCCTGTGTATCTGGGGCGCCTCCACAGCGCTGCGCGAACGCCAGCTGGTGTGACCAGCCTCACGATCTCTGGTGTTTGTGGACGACTTCAGAGTTTGCGGGCATTCTTGCTGGGGCTTTAAAATCGATTCCGTACCTGTCAGCCAGTGCCCCTCTCTTGTGGGCAGGTGATGAACCAGAGCAGGACTTAGAAAAGAGAAACCCATCTGTGAACTTCACAATTGATTATTTAGGAGAAAAGCAACATGGTGAAACACAAAATAGCCCATACACAACCTAAAAAGCACGAAGAGGTACCATGTTTACTGCTTCTCTAAGTAGATGCTAAAAATAAACACCGTGGAGAGGTTGAGAAAGGTCCATTGAGATCAGTGGTTCCTATGCCCTTTAGTTGGTGAACTCCATTGAGAATTGAATTTAAAAATGTGTGGATTCCCTCATCTCCTCCTTCTCAAAAAAAAAAAAAAAACAATATGTGTGTGTGTGTAGGTTCTTTTTTTTTAAGATTTTATTTATTTATTTTTAGAAAGAGGGAAAAGGAGGGAGAAAGGAAGTGAGACATCAATGTGTGATTGCCTCTCATGTGCCCCCTACTGGGGACCTGGCCCATATCCCAGGCATGTGCCCTGACTGGGAATTGAACCAGCAACCCTGTGGTTCACAAGCCAGCACTTGATCCACTGAGTCACACCAACCAGGCTGATAGGGGAGGTTCTCTTGGGGGCCATCCAGACACAGAAGTCTGTGAATCTGGCCAAGTGCAAGTGATAAAGAACAATGACTGACGTCAATGTCTAACTAGAAAGTTAAGACAGAGAAGGGCTAGCTTTGTGACAAATGAGGATGCACATCCTTACCTAAAGTAAGTTCAAGTTCTAAACCATTTTTTAAAAATAGCACTTGCTATGTTATTAATAGCCAAGATATGGAAGCAGCCCAAGTGCCCATCAGCGGATGAGTGGATAAAGAAGATGCGGTACATATGTGCAGTGGAATATTACTTGGCCATGAAAAAGAACGAAAACTTATCATTTGCAGCAGTGTGGGTGGACCTAGAGGATATTATGCTAAGTGAAATTGTTGGTCAGAGAAAGACAAACACCGTATGATTTCACTTAAATGTGGAGCTTAAAGAGCAAAATAAGTGAACAAACAAAATAGAAACAGACTCACAGATTGAACAGATTGATGGTGGCCAGAGGGGAGGGGGTTGGGAGTCTGGTTGAAGAGGGTGAAGTGATTGAGAAGCACACATTAGTAGCTACGAAGCAGTCGTGGGGATGTGACGTTCATTCGGCACAGGGAACATAGTCGATACTATTGTCACACCTATGTACGGTACCAGGTGGGCATGAAGTACTAGGCAAGGAGGAACACCTTGTAAAATACATGATTATCTGACCCTTACGTCATACACCCGAAACCGATACAAAATAATATTGAACGTAAACTGTGATTAAAAATAAAATTAGAAAAGATCTTCTTAATACAGCACACTCGAGGTAAATTGGAGACCAGCCCCTCCAGTTTGCAGTTCGAGGCTTTTCTTTGGTCTCTGTAAACATGGGGACATTCTCAATTTTTTGTCCTCAGGCACGACAGCAAGCTCAACTGCGTCACCAAATGGCAGAGGACAGCAAAGCGGATTACTCATCGATTCTCCAGAAATTCAACCATGAGCAGCGCGAGTACTACTACACCCACATCCCGACCATATTCCAGGTAAGCGCCTCCAATACTCCCGCATGCCTTTCTGAGAGACGCGTGGCTTCGGGGTCATGATTGGTGGACTTACGTTCCACGTCTTCCTATGATCCTGAACTCCCTCTAACTCAGTCACGTTGTAAAGCACTCAGATGGAGAAGCGTGGACTCGCAGTCAGGAAAGGGAAATACGCTATTCATCTCAAGACTAATCAATAGCCTTTGCAAACTCCCTGGAGTCGTCCCTGCAGTCCTAGCGCCGTGATTCTTAGATCGACACTCTTTGCTACAAGCACCATTCTGGTTACCAAAAGAAAAAAGAAAAAAAAAGCCAACCTAACTTTAGGAATCAAAGCAGCATTCATGGTTGGTAGGACTTACACAGGGGGCAGTTCTTTGAATTGTTTCTCTTGTGGCTCCTTTACGTTTTCAAAAATAGTTTGAGAAAAGACACAATCCTGCCCTCCCACCTTGAGAATCTTTTACAACCTCCCTTCCGGTTGAAGGAGGAATAATAAATGTTGGCCTCCGCGTCTGCACGCACAGCGAAGGGGGGCCTCCACGTTGTCACGGGGGGGTGTGCCAGTCCTCTCCCAGCCTGGGGTGGGTGGAGACGGCTGACCTAACACTGTGCCTTTGGAAAAGGGCGAAATAGTCACAGGTGAAGGGAATGCTCAAAATCTGACACCAAACGGTGTTAACAATGAACATGCTTGAATTTGGGGTTCTCGCTGAAAGCGGACTGGGATTGTGTTAAGCACGCATTTGGGCAGCCTAACAATTAATTCACAAAATGCGTGTACAGTTGATGCTGGGGCGTCATAAATCTCCAGCTGCTCCAGATGCAGCCCTTTTCGAGGCCAGGCCCCTTACTACAGAGTTTATGAAGGGTAGCCGCGCTGTCGAAAAGCAGCATCCCTGAGTCTCCACAGTGGCCACATTCGTTGTCGCGAACTTGAATGTTGCAGCAAATACAGGAGATGGAGGAGAGGAGGATAGTGCGCCTCGGGGAGTCCATGAAGACCTACGCGGAGGTGGACCAGCAGGTGACCCCGATCATCGGCAAGTGCTTGGACGGCATCATCAAGGCCGCCGAGGCCATCGACCAGAAAAACGTACGTGCCGTGGGCGCGGTTCACTCACCGACTGTCTGTGGTCCCGGATTTCCCCGCCCCCTCCCCGGGGACCCCCCTTCTACCCCCTCCTGTCAGGCCATGGCCCTCAGTGGCAGGAGTAGTTCCCACAGGAGCCACTTCCCCTCTGTCTGAGTTTGGCCATGTCAGGAGCCCCGTCCCACTTCTCATCACTGTCGATCAGTCATTTTGACACATCTTTGCGTCTCCAGTCCCGTCAGAGGCTTTTGGTGGCTTTGTCTGCCTGGCTCACAGGAGGAAACAGTCTCAGGGAGGCCCCCTTGGGTCACTCCACCTAAAACCCCATCGTCACCAATAAATGACTGTGAGGAGGGGTCTCTTCAAGGGAAGTAGTCGTGCGGGGTGTACGAGCTGAGCCCTCGAAAGTGACACCTGTCTCTGCGTCTTGACTTTTAGCTCTGTCGATGTTGGGCGCTGATTAAAATCTGAAACAAGCCAGATTTTAATGTCTTATATTAGAGGCTTGGCAATGTGTTATTCCTGGAAATCGTACCATTGCTCAAGATGGTGTCAGAACGGAGGTTCCCCTTTCATTGGTTTTGTCCGGGAAACGTGAGCTGCCCGGATTTGTAGGCCGCGGCCCCCGCCCGGGGGCCTTGTTTCCCATCAGATTGCTGTTCGTTCTTTTCGCCTGTCATCTGTATGCTGCTAAATCCAAGCATTTATTCTGAGTCTTTGTTCAAGTTCTTATTCAAGTTCTTCTTGACCTCTTAGCAGCCTGGGTCCCAGCTTCCCTGCTCTTCCTGCGCTTGACTCTGCGGAGCCCACGTGGCGCTGGCTTTTATCCTTGTCGCTGGTCTCCTCTTTTTTGCTTGTTTGTCTTCTTGTCATTTAACTTTGGGGTCCTCCAGGGTGAGGACCTGAGATCTTTCTATGCTCACACCCCCTCCTCCGAGGGATCTGTGGCTTCTTGGCCCATTAAGTCCCATCTCAGTACCGACTCACCCATGTTACAGGTCAGCCTGGGCGTCTGCCCCACATTCCAGGTTCATCTGCGCATCAGCCCAGTGGCTTGTCCGCTTGGATGTCTAACAGGGGCCCCAAACTTGGTGTATCTCAAACCGAACTGCTGACCTTTCTCACCAGACCTGTTCCTGCCACAGTCTTCACTGTCCAGAGACCAACATGTCCATCCTTCCGGGATCTGGGGGTCAAACCTGATGTCCCCCTTTCCTCACACCTGTGGCACTTTTGTCAGCCGACCCTGTTGGCTTTGCCTTCTAAACCAGATAGGTTTCACCAGCCCTACTGTTCCTCTCCTGGTCTAAGAGCTCCCCCATCTTGGATTACGCAGAAGGAGCCTGGGGGGGACCACAGGCTGGTCTCTCCTCCTGTGCCCCACCCCTGCCCCCAGCCCAACTCTATTCATCCCCCTGAGCCCGGGGACCCTATTACAATAAGTCAGATCAGGTCCCACCTCTTCTTGGAACCCTCTGGGGGCTTCTGCCTCTCAGAGGAAAAGTCAGAGTCAGCTGGAGCCTCCAAGCCTAAACTGTAACAGGGCACGTGATCTGAACTCCCTCCCGGTTATCTTTCCGACATCCCCAGTCCTCAGATCTCCCAGTGCTCCCGTTGTAATGGCCTGGTTGGTGTTCCTTGAACACTCCCAGTGTGCTCCTGCCTTGCCGCTCCCTCAGCCTGGGATATCCCCCCACGGGTACCCGCCTGACCCCCTCCCCCACCTCTTTCCGCTCCTTAGAAGGGCTGTTTCGTCCTGTTCCCTGTTCCTCGGGAATTCAAAGGTCGGGTCTTTCTCAATCCGTGTAAGTCAGTTTGGCCTGCACATTCTGTTCCTCTTTCAAATATCCCTGCTGTATTCTTGATGTGTTTTTCAGGTTTATCTTTCGTAGATTTGGTTCTCGATAAAGTGTATTAAGTGTCTTGCTGCTTTGATCTTAGGCATTTTTATTATAGTTCTTATTTCCTTGTACCTTCTTCAACTCTGCCTACTTGTGTTTAATTACTGTGACGTTCCTTTTTAAATTTCTCATTTTGAGAAACACTGATGGTGTTTTTATGAAATGATTCACTGAACCTGCTTTCCATTCCCTGCCTGTCATCCTCACCACGAGCCACCAAGGAAAGCCCTGCACTCAGAGAGGCCGCAGCCTGCCCAGGGCCGACAAGCGAAGCTGCCCGGCCAGCGCCAGGGCCTCACTCGCCACCTTGCGCTTGTTATTTCCGGAACCAGCCCAGTCCTGGCACACATCTGAACCTACTCACTCACTTACATGTGCCAGGCATGGTTCCGAAGAGGGAGACCAACAACAGCAAAACAAATGAGAACATTATTTAGAGCATTCTAGGAAAAAATATAGTAGGAAAGGGTGATGGGAAGTGATGCCTGGTGGCTGGGGTGGCGTTAGTTCAAGAGGGCGCGCTGGAGTGAAGGCTTGGAAGAAGTGATTTAATAGTGATTTCGGCGGGATGGGGGAGAGAAAGCTCCCAGTGCTGTTACCCACTTCTCCCTGCTCCGTGCAGTGTTTTGATCACGTGATGACTTGAAAGTTCGAACTGGTTTTTTTTACGTAAGGTTAGTTCCCACGTACACCAGGTGGCCAGGTGTTCACTAGAGCAGATGAAGGTCATAATCACTGGCACAGCCTGGTCGCAGGAGTTAATCTGCCAGGAGAGGCTGAGCTTCGTATGGCAAGGACACAGGCTGTTCAGTTTTCCTCTCACGTACAAGATTTCTACAGGCAGAGGGTCTGGCCACGGCATGGGCCAGTGGTCCTTGTTTTCACAGACCCAGGCTCCTGCCAGTTCTCAGTTCTCAATGATGTGATCTTCTACTCACAATGGCTTCCGGAGCCCCAGCCATCACATCCAAATTCCAGACAGCAGGATAGGGAGGCGGGCCCACGACATCCCTTTAAAGAGGCTGCATCTCAGAGCTCTCGGTGATCAGGGACAGACGGCCCCTCCTGCTCTACAGAAGACTGGGGAGTGGGGCCCCTCAGCTCTGCAGCGACGTGCCCCGCTCCTAGTCAGGCTTCTTGTTAGTGAGGAGGAAGGGTGACTGGCTCTTGGAAGACAATTGACAATCTGTGTAAGACCTACAAGTTATTAGCTAAAATAACTGTGGCTAATTAAAAGATGGGCTCATGTTAAGTTGAAATCTTTTCAAATTTCCTTCTCTAGTTTTTTAAATCAGAAGACCACTGAATTAAAATGCTATCACAGATCACATGCATTTTTGTAATATTTCATCTATACATCAATTTCTTTTTTTTTTTTTAAGACTTATTTATTTTTAGCCCTGGCTGATGTAGCTCAGTGGATTGAGTGCAGGCCTGCGAACCAAAGCATCACTGGTTTGATTCCCAGTCAGGGCACGTGCCTGGGTTGCAGGACAGGTCCCCAGTAGGGGGCATGCTAGAGGCAACCACACGCTGATGTTTCTCTCCCTCTCTTTCTCCCTCCCTTTCCCATCTCTCTAAAATAAGTAAATAAAATCTTTTAAAACACAAACAAAAAAAAAGACTTATTTATTTTCAGAGAGAGGGGAAGGGAGGGTGAAAGAGAGGGAGGGAAATATTGATGCATGAAAGATACAGCCATCAGTTGCCTCTCACACAACCCCCAGCTGGGGAGCTGGCCTGCAAGCTTAGCACGTGTCCTGAGTGGGAATCAAACTGGTGACCTTTTGGTTCTCAGGCCAGCGCTCAATCCACTGCACCATACCAGCCAGGGCCATTTCTTCATTTGGGACACCGTAGTTGTAATTTTCACACACCTGTGTCCCCATCACCTGACTCTGAGGCCCCTGAGAACGTGTTGAACCCAGTGTTCCTAGCTGAGGGCAAGCTGTAGCATAGGCACGCAGTTCGCTGACTCACTCGGCACACATTTACTGCACCCCCGGAGCCAGCCAGGGAGCAGGGTGAAGTGGAGGGAGAGCAGGAGAAGGACATTCTGGCAGAGGAGAGGCGGCTCGGGGAGGCCCGGGAGTAAAGTCAGGCAACAGGTTGACGTCACAACGAGCCAAGAAAGCAGAGAGGTTATCTGCTCTTTGCTTTGACTTTGGATATGCTAAATTGCTTTGAGAACTTCTGATAGGAGAGAGATTTTTGGATTATTGTATTCTTCAAGGGAATTGCTTAATAATCGCCCAGTTTTTTTTGTTTTTAGCCAAGTGTTCTTCATGAATAGTTGTTCCTCCAAATGCAGAAAACTGGTCATAGAAAGGATCTTCAAACTTCAGCTCGATGTGTAGCTTAACAAATTATTCTTTCCAATGGTAAAACTATGCCTGTCCTCAATCAGTGGAACTGCCTGAAGGCAGTGAACACATCTGCCGCTGTGAACACAGATCGCCGTGGAAGGCGCTGACGTGTAATTGAGCGTGTTTGTGTGCGGCGGGTGTGATTTCAGGACTCACAGCTGGTCATAGAAGCTTACAAGTCGGGGTTCGAGCCCCCCGGAGACATCGAGTTTGAGGACTACACACAGCCGATGAAGCGCACCGTGTCAGAAAACAGCCTTTCCAACTCCAGAGGGGAAGGCAAAGCCGAGCCCAAATTTGGTGGCAAAGCCAAAGGGAAGTTGTGGCCGTTCATCAAGAAAAACAAGGTATTTACCGATGGTTGGTGCCTGGCTCGAAATGGGTTTGATAAGGTGGCAGGTCTTGACTTTATCTTCCAGTCTTAAACAACAACAACAACAACAAACTAGTGTGTTATTTTCTTTGAAAACCATATTTCTCTTTGGTGGTGGTCCCTTTGCCATGGCCATTTGTCTGATTTCACATGCACTGTCACTCTACCGTGTCACCCACACTAACAGATTCCTGACCTCAGCCACTTACCACTGCTCCTGAGCGTCCCAGACTGCTGGCTGCCTGGGCCGGGACGGGGGACCGTGTGCAGAATTCCTGTAACCACTGACAGCCCATCTAATTGACCTTGTCCCCGTGGGTTAATAACCTGGTTTTGAGTCCCTGCTAACACGTGGATCCAGGAACACTTTTCGTTTGCTCTTTACGGTGTAGTGCGTAGGTGCATGCGGCATTAACCGGGGTGAGCAGATGGTGAACGCAACATCACCGCTTTTGCCTTAGAGTAATTTACCTTCTATAATTTTTAAAAAACTGTCTTGCTGTTTTCACAACTTGAGCCTCTAAGGTCTTTCATTTTCTCCCATCACGCTGTGTGAGTTTAGGCGGTTTCAGACTATATACCCCCTGGCTTCAGCTGGTTTGGAGTAACTGATTAGAACCACCACTTGCATGGGATCGTCTGCATGAGCGGCTTGTCGAGTATTTCCTGCTCTTCTGTTGCGTTACTTACTGAAAATCCCACTCTCGTCACTCTCTTCATTTCGGCACATTCTCCATGTTTTCTTTTGGACCATGGCCCAAATATTTGATGGTTTGTGTTTTACTTGCTTTGGATTTCAAATATGATTTGATGCTCACTTTTGTTTTGTGTCTTATCTTCTTGTTTCTGATTTTTGCTGTCACTGCTCCATCTCTCACACGTAGCTTGTGTCCCTTTTAACATCCCCCCATCAGCCTCCCCCTCCTCCCCCCGCCTCTGCCTCACCCTCTGCTGTTCCCAACGGCCCCCAGTCTCCCAAGCAGCCAAAGGAACCCCTCTCCCATCGCTTCAACGAGTTCATGACCTCCAAACCCAAAATCCACTGCTTCAGGAGCCTAAAGCGAGGGGTAAGTCCTGCTCCGGGGTCCTGTCTCTCTCGTGCGCTTCTGGTTGCATGTTTCGTTCTGCGTATCTTATTTGGTTTGTGGATGAATTCATTGTGTTTTCCTGTAACGCAAAACAACAAGAACCCGTGGTTCATGATGCTCAGTTAGAAAGAGGAAGAAAGAGGGAAGGAAGCAGGGTGGAGGAAGGAGAGAGCCCGACCGCCTGCCCAGAGTTCTGTCTGTCTCAGTGCGTTCCAGAAGGACTGGGCGATGAGGCAGGAGAAGTCGCTGTAGAGTGTAGAGCGTAGAGCAAAGTTTGCTCGGTAATTCCTGGAACGATGCGAACATCGTGGAGACATTGCTGTCTGTGCTGTGCCTCGGGGTTTGAAGGGGAAGCCAGGGTTGGCCCAGTTTCTCCAGCTGTTCAGGTGAACCTAGAAGATGTTGAATTCTGATAAAATGTCTGTCTGGAAAGGGCCTAATGCAGTGTTTATCTTTAAAAGGTGGAATAATGAGAGCAGCTGCATTTATCAGGTGCTTATTCCATCCCAGGCTCTGTTCTCTGTGCTCATTTACATATTTTCAAACCAAGGTAACGCAGGTTTCTTCTTTTACTGAAAAATAAGAAAACCGAGGCAGGAAAAGACAAAGTTAGGAAGACAGACAGCCAGGAGTCACAGCCAAGGAGCCCCTTGCTAGTCGGGGCTTCTGTGGCATCTGTCCACACTGAGAGGCTCCGTCTGTCCACGCAGGCAGCCCATAGCGGGTGTTACCGAGACTCGGGCGCGCCATTCGAACCACGGCTGTGTGCGCTTAGTCCCAGGTTCCATGGCGGTGACCCAGTGACCCAGAGTAGGTGGCAGCATGGAAGAAGATTGGAATGAAGTGATAGGTCGTGTCCCGAATAAATCTCAATTGTCAGTCTAGTCGAGGCTGTCCCCAAATATGTTTTATAATGAATGGTGAAGTGAGGCCATCGGGAGTAAACAGTTATCACCTTAGCCCACCCAGAAGGGGCTCCTCTCCCGTGGGAGCTGCCACACAGCTGTCTGTGGTGGGAAGCGCTCTTACACAAACAGAAGTCCCACTTTTCCCTTCTGTGTAAAAAACAACGCAAATATGTGATAGATAGCTGTTCCCGTCAAAACAAGGGACGAAGACCCCGTTGCTTTATGTGCCGAGTTTCATGCGAGTGCAGTCAGGCCTCCCAGCCTGCCAGGTGCAGACTCGGAAGTTTCATGTCCCGGAGGCGTCGGGATAGCCGTCGTTAGAAGTCCGAATGCAGCTTCCCACGGGGACGGTGGGTGTGCTGAGCCCGACAGGCAGATCTCGAGTGCCCTGTCTGCCTTTCAGAACTCCCTAGCCTTCCCCACTTGTTCATGGAGAAGCTTGTCCACGTGTGACCAGGGTGTTTTGGCTGGACCAGAAAGTTTCCCATTGAAACCATAAATCACCTCATCACCGGCACCTCCGAGACCTTTATGGGACACTCAGTTATTTACAGTAAATACCTCCGCACTGTCCCGAGGCCTCTCGAGATGAAGGATGCTGACTCTTGGTGACGGTTCGTTCCTTTCTCGACATCTCCCAGCCTGTCGGCTGCAGGTGGTTTCTGACTGTGTCCTGGTGTTCTCTGAATGTTTCGGAAGCCCAGAGAATGTCAGCGATCAATGTGTTCAAAAGGGTGGCAAGAAAAAACCAAAAAACAATTCAGTGAAATAGAAAACTGGTTATTTTGATGAGTTAAAGATCCCCTTTGCCTCCCTTTTTTTTTTTTTTTTTTGCTACAGCAAGATAAATTTTATTTCTTATTCCTCAAATCTATGTGTGGCAAACCTCTGTTTAAAAAGTGCCCTAAACAGTGAGTGTGTTTTCTTTCACACACATACACACACTCTAAATATATTAGTAAGTAAATAGAAACACACTTTTATTCCCCTTATGTTAGTTGGGGTCAGAGTTGATGTTCCTTCAGGAAGTAGCAGTGCAAAAAAAAAGAATAAAAAGGAACAGGAAAAAAATGATAAAGGAAATGTATCATGGAAGTAAGATCAGGAAGTGCAAAACAAGAACCGAATCAGAAGTTTGGGGAAATAATCTTTTTTAAAGCAGCTTCAAAACCGAACGTACACGGGTTACTGGATCCATGAGTAAAATGATTCAGTCCTTGCTACTATTTTGTTTATTCTATTTTTTAACTTTAAGACTATGGTGCCAAAGTTAGGAAAAGTACCCCAGGAAGGTAATCGATCTGTGGTTTTAATATGTCTTTTCATTGATCCTGGTTGCAGCTTTCAGGTCTGGACTTGAGTAATTTGTTCCTCTTACCAAAATGTATATACATCGTGTGCAAACGCGTCTCAGCTGATTTTGTTTCTAATTAAACAGGATAAAATAGTTTTCGTTGTAAATGGGTGACACTTGGAAGAAAACTTTGTTTCAACTGAACGTCTTTGAAGATTGGCGTGCTTCTTGAGAGCATGATTAACCATTATTTTATCTTTACCCCAGAAAGTATGTTGTCAATTGCAATCTACAGAGGGTGATTTTATTGTCTTAAATTGAGATTTCCCCCCTAGTTTGAGCAAAGGACTTCTAAATCTAGAACATGGGGCACCACGTTTTAGAGTTAACCGTATGGAAAAATGCCATCAAAATTGCTCAAATGGTCTCAAAAATCCTTACCAATTGTTTTTCATTGTTTATCTTGTTCTCTTGCTGATTGTTGGCAGACTCAGTCTTTCTGTTTTCACAAAGAACTCACGAAGAGGACGATAGGGAAGCCCACGTATGCTTTTGAAGCTAGGGACTACGTTGTAAGTTCACCCGTGACAGCCGGGTCGCAGGTCACGGCACAGGCACTAACCCCAGTGACACCACCAAGACTGGGGACCCAGGGGCACTTGCTAATGCCTCCTTCGAGAAATGACGTCTCGGCTGAGAGACCCGGACACTGTGGGGTAAAAAGCCTGACTGTGTAAATTCAACCCCAGGCTCCTCCCTCCGGGAAACTCACATGGAAAAAGGAACCAAAGTTCCCAATGACGATCAGACTTCCTAAAAATGTCAGTGAGCGGGGCTTGGTTTTATCCCCTTCTCACGGACGGTGGCTGCCGTCTGAGATGTCACTGGGGTGGCTTTTACGGCAGAGCCTCCCCTCCCAAAACGCAGCCGCAGGGCACGGTCACAGGAGGATGACACTCTTTTGGATGGCACTTGTGCGGCACGGGGTCACCCTTGTCCACCCCTGTGACAGCCGACCCCTAAGGGAGTCGCACCAAAATCTGTGGAGCACGAGCAAGGTCACGGCGGAGGGACGTGGTGTCCGTGGACCTGACGCACGGTGCTTAGCTGTTCACCGTCACTGTCCCCTTTCTTTGTACTTGAGGTTAGTACCTGTGACTGCCCCGTAACACCCGGACTCCCCAGCTCTGTGTCCCCGCCTATGCTGTGGACACTGTGGCTCCCCAGGCTCCGTAACTGTCACCGGACACCGACAGCCGTTCAGCTCTCCGGTGTCTCGCCACGCCCCGCGTGCAGCCTTTAAAAATGCCCCCCTAACCGACGGTTCGGGGCTTAATTTCTAAGTGATCTAACCAGCTGACTCACAGCACAAAACCAAGGGCCCATTTGCGGCGGGGAAACAGGGCGCGTCCCACAATTCGGGGTTTCCCATTTCTGTCGGGAGTGATTCTCAGTCCTAACAACTTATTACGATAATCAACTGCTAACATTCCTCGGCTGTCCATTTTGATGATGGGGTCCCTGGTTTGGAACGCCTAAGAATACGTAAACTTGAAATAACAGAAGGAGCCCAATAGAGAGCAGACAGTGTGTGCCAAGTTCAAAGCCCGGTTCTCTGAGCCAGTGACGTTTAGCTGTAGCGTGTGAGAAAACGTTTGTCTGTGGCTGTGTGCTTGGTCGGGAGGGGTCTGCCAAGCTGTCTGCCGTGCACCGTAAGTGTTGTCAGGGAGGGGCTCCGATGGCGATGAACGGACCGACCTGTGCCAAGTTCCCAGGGGGGGCGCACGGAGTGGCGGCTGCCGCAGCGGCACTCATGGGACTGCCTGCGCCTTTCCCCTCAAACGCTTTATCTCACAACTCTGTCCCTTAAAATCCTCCGTTGCTTCAGGCGGACAATTTCTCCCAAAGCTCACTGCCTATTTACAAAGAAGTGTCGACTCTGAGTCGATGCTCATAATGAGACTTCCTAAATATGGCTAGGGAGTTCTGAACACCCTCCCTCCTCCTCATGTAAAATGAAAGGGCACTTTCTGAGATACTTGTCTCCCGCACAGTTTTGGATCCTCCTGGCAGGATCCACCCTTGGCCTGAACTTTTAGGGTGGATAACAGTTAAGGACTAAGGACCCACTGAGCTCTCAGAACACTGCCTGGTGGCCACAGGCAGGTCTTAGCTGTTCACGAAGACTGAGCGTCTCTTTCCCTAATTTTGAGGTGCCATTGAACCTGTGTGGAGTCTAGGAATTACTACACCTTTGCCAACCTGAAGGCCCAACAGGAGGACGGCAGCAGGTGGTTGTCACGGAAGCCACAGCGAGGCGGAGCCCCGGCCGTTGAGACAGCGGTGGTCTCGTTTTCAGAGCCAGCTTTCGAGAGCAGCTGCTCCCACTGAGCTCCCCAGATGCCACGTCTCCCCTGTGGCGGGGGCTCAGCGTCCCCGGACATTGCACTTGGTGTGCCTGCGCTCTAGTGGGTGACAGCCTCGTCCCTCCGCCCCCGGCCTGGCACTCGGGGGCCTCCTACCTCCCAGAGGCCGTTTCTCAGAGCAGCTTGGTTCCCTGTCCACCCATCTGAGAGTTCGCCCACGTACCTGTAGGAAAGCCAGCGTTTGTATTTATTAGATTTCCTTGACAGGAAAAGGTAACCTGCGTGTGGTGGAAGTAATTGGTTTTCAGACTCTCTTAGTCTGTGGCAAGTTTGGTAAACAAAAGACCAGACAGTTATTTTTGTCTTTTCTGATCATTGCGTGTCCCTGACAACACACCTCGGTTTCTGTGCGGGCTGCCGGGGGCCACACGGAACTGCACGCCGAAACCCCCCGCCCTTTGCTCTGGCAACATGGCGGCGAGGGCAGGTTTGGGTGGGGATCAGCCCCTCGTGTGAACTTCGCACAGATCCGCTCCGAGTCCTTTTCACGCGGCAGCAGGTGAATCTGTGCGGCGACGCGGTGGAGCCGGCCGAGTTCCTCTTCTGATGTGTTCTTTCTCTCTCTCTCTCCCGCCCCCGTCCTCCCCTTCCATTCTCACGTGAAGCTTTCTCTCAAGCTGGTAAGCACAGCCACCCCCTGCATGTCCCGGGTCTGGCGGGCCCCCCGCTGCGCACGCTGTGGGTGCTCTGCCCCGTGCAGCCCACCCGCAGAGCTCGCTGTTGGCTCGGGTTTCCCTTCTGTGTGTGCTTGTGTCTCTTTCTTCATCACGCCTTTGGGACACCGAGGTCGAGAGTCTGATGGATCTTAATCTTGTCCCGTTGCTAAGAAAATTAATGCTTAACTCATGATTTGGTGTTGGGTTGTTCTTTCTCCTTTTTTTTACTACTGGGGCCTTCAGAGGCTGATACATGCCGATGAGCTTTATTTAAGCATGAACGTAACTATTAAGGAACGGGGAGTTCATTTATTGGATCATTTAGAATAAAAGTCAGTTTAATCATGGCCAGATGCTCCTCCCCATGAGCCACGGAGCTGCGGACATCCGCTGGGAGCCCGCAGGGTGACCCGTAGGGTGTCATCCAGCGGGGTGACACCAGTCTCAAACATGGGTCCAGGGCTGCCCGTGGCAGTGGAAACTGTGACTTCTTTCAGGTGCTACTTAAATGCAATGGCACCACGTGCATAGCTGAGTCAGGACGTCACAGGGGGATCTCGCGGATCCCAGGGCGCCCTGGGCCTTTCCACACTGTTTGGCTCAGTGTCCTGGGCTTCTGCCGCTTAATTGTGTAGCCCCAGTAAACGAACTAATCGTACGTGTCTTACAAGAAAACCTTAACCAACATAACCCTAACTGCACTTCCGATATGCGCAAGCTACATGGTGTTTTCCAGCCTCACAGAGGAGACTGTCCTGAAGTCCCGGGCAGTGGTACACGGCGACAGTTCAGCCAGGAGCAAGATTGTGCCCCACCCTCGACAACTCAGGGTGCTGTTCACGGTTATTGTCACGGATGTGCGGGCGTGTCACTGTGTACATACCCACGTATGTGCGGAGTTTCTGCAGCCCGACTGACCCTAGAGAAAGCAAACATTTTATTGAATTGAGCGTTTCTTAGGCTGAGATAAAAATCTCAAGATAAGTCCTTGATTGGGGACAAGAAGGAGAAATCTAGATGCTTAAATTCCAGTATGAATCTGGGAGAAGCTGGACCAATTGACTAGGAATCTCTCAGATGCCAGCGGTTCCTTCTTGCCCTTTATTTGTTCTTTTGCTGGGATGTTACCAGCAACAGATAATGATATTGGGCAGTCTTCCTGGTTGGAGATATAAATCATTTGACCAACCTGGCATTGGACTGTGGCTTTGTACCATTGCTCTGCAGCTGATGAATGAAGTGTCATGCAAACATGGCTTGGGTGCAAAAACAGTAAATCTCAAAAAGCACTTTGCCCTTTGGGGGGGGGCGGGTTCTGGTTCCTGGGGAGCAAGTGTTCGATTCCAGGTGCCATAAAACAGCCGTTCAAAATACACGCACGTGTGTGGCCCCTTCTCCCAAGGCTGGTGCCCCCTCCTTCTCTGTACCCCGAGGTGCTCCAGGCATTTCAGGACATCTGTTCTGACTCAAAGCTATACATACAAATTCTTTCTTGGCCAGCTGAATCCTAGGTGAGAGCATTGTTTAAAGGAATTCAGGCTTCCAAAAGTTCACTGGACCCAAATGACCCCTTCAGGCATTTCCAGAAACCCTAAGGTTCTTTGGATCTAGCAGAAGCTGTTGACCTGAATCTCCACGGGCAACAGGAAGTCTGTGGGAGGCACAGTGACTGCGATCGGCTTCCAAAGAACAGCACAGAAACACGGAGGATCTGTGGGGAGGGACCTCGTTGGCCCATCGGACTGACTCCTGATCCCTTGTAAATAATTCATTGATTTATTACTGAATTATTCGAGTTCTGTAAGTAACCAGGCTTGCTCTGTCGCTGTCTGGGGATTTGTGAGTGAGGCACACGTGCAGTGCATTTCACTCACACAGTCCAGTGCAGCCGTTCGCCCACCACCGCAGGTCTCACACCTGTCTGCCCAGTGCCGCGCCCTTCAGTACAGGAGCCACTCTCCACTGGCGGCCATTTCAACTTCAGCGGATGAACATTCAGTCAGAATTTAAAATTCAGTTCCACAGTTGTCCTAGCTGCTTTCCAAGTGCTCAGTAGCCAGAGGCAGCCACTGGAGGGGACAGGGCACACACGGGCATTTCTGTCACTGCAGAAAGAGCCCCTTTGGGCTCAGCACGAGGTGAGGCTCAGGGAAGGTCAGTGACCTAAGGCGAGCGCCTGCTGCGGCCCCTGGCGTCTGCACCGGTGAGCCTCACACTGGTTGCATTGCACTGCGGCGCCAGGGAACAGAGCAGAACAGAGCCCACCTCAGCTCTGGGAAGCGTGCCGCTCTGCTCGAAGTCCACGCGAGAAGAACACTGAGCACTCAGGCCCAGTGGTCGAATCCGGTTTCAAGTATCATAACATAACAGTGTATGGGAAAGATTTATTTTTATGTTGAAGACTAGTTTGCTCCATTTTCATTTTAGAGGTGAATCGGATTTCCTTGGTTTGGTATTAAGGTGCAGTCATTTCCTTTCTGGTTCTACTCCCATCTTATTTCTCCTCTCTCTCTCTCTCTCTCTCTCACACACACACACACACACACACACACGCACGCGCACTCATGCACACTGTGAGAGCACTGGCTGAAAGGTCTTTGTGCAGCCCTGGCACTAAACTATTTGCTGACTCACACGCCGCCAGCACAGCCACCTGGCATTTTATCACACGCAGCCCAGGACCTGGAGTCACGAGCCCCCGGGGGAGCTGCTCCGCAGCCTCAGCCTCATCGGGGGATGACCTCCTGCAGGTCCCTTCCCTCCCACCCACTCCCCACGCCGGCCTTGCCTGCCTTTAATTGGCTCCCAAGTAAAATCTCTTATCTAAAGAAAGGCCCTGGCTGATCTGTGGTTATCAGATAAGTTCTTTTTTCTTTATGGAAACTGCCTCATTCAAGTAAAAGCACTTGACCAGCACTTAGCTTCGGACAAGAGCACATATGTAAGTCTAGAAGCTCACTGTTGGTATGTTCTGCGCAAAACGCATGCACAGAGGAAAGATAAGAGTTGTTTCTGAAGGGGGAACCACGATATTGAAACACACTTCTGATGGGCTGGGAGCAGCCCAGCTCGATCCCCAACCCCGTGGGAGGGCATCCTCTGCGCATGTCCGAGACCACCCTAAACCTGCTAGGAAGAAGCGGCTGGACTTGCATCGACAGAGGCCAGAGAAGAGTGCACAGGGGTGGGGGGATCTGTTTTTTAAACGTCCTTTTCACCCACATCCTCCGAGGAACTAGATGTCCCATCTGTCACTTCACGGGGATGGAAACTTTTGGCCTTAGCCTGTATAAAGAGACGGGAAGGAATACTCAGACCGGGGGGGCAGGGGGCGGCGGGTGGCAGAGCAGGACCTGCCATGTGGGACAGTTAGCTGGGGTACTCACCCGGGTTCATAGGAAGAAAACCTAAACTCAGGGCTTCCTGGAAACTGCAGTGTTGCCACGAACACTGGCGGCGAAGTGAGGGATCCGTCTCAGAATTGGTGTTCGGATCCCCCCAGAGTCAGGAGTATTTCTTCCTCTCTCCTCCCGCAGAGTCTCCTGCCTTTTGGGAGATGCCCTCAGGCAGCCTGGGTGGAACCTGAGTGGCCTTGGGACTGGTTTGCATGCACTGATTCCGCCTGCCTCTGGGCTGGTGTCCTGGGAAAGGGCCTGGAGCCTCCTCCCTGCAGGCCTGCCTCCCGGTCTTCCTGCAAGGCTCGTCCTGGCTCATTTCTGTTTGCATCTGCAGGGCTCCACGCCAGAAGACTTCAGCAACCTCCCACCTGAGCAGAGAAGGAAAAAGCTCCAACAGAAAGTGGATGAATTGAACAAAGACATTCAGAAGGAGGTGGATCAAAGGTAGAGTGGGCCAATAAGAAATTCAAGTTCAGCCCTGGCCAGCGTGGGTCGTTGGTTGGGCGACATCCCGCAAACCGAAGGGTCATGGGTTTGATTCCTGGGTTGGGGGTTTGGTCCCCGGTCGGGGCGCGTGCAGGAGACAGCCGATCGATGTTTCTCTCCTTTTCTTTCTCCCTCTCTTCCCCGCTCTGGAATCACTAAAAGAAAAAAAATTAAAAAAACAAAACAAAACACGAGGAAATTCAAGTTCAGTTTGGAAAGACGGGAAGTCCTAAACTAGATTTTAGTAGAAGTGCTTCTCTCAGCCGTGTGTCGGATCAGAGGTGGTCTCTGGGATCGCTGCACCGGGCCTGGGAGAGGGTTTTATCGGTGGGCTTTCTTCTGAATTGGGGGGAACAGAATACATGGGATAATCTCTCTCATCAGGAGTGCGTAGGTTAGTTTTCTTGTGCAAAGAAGGAGGAGAAAAGAGGCCTGCCCCCCCCTCCCTTGCCCCCCTGCCCCCCATCCTCGCTCTGGGTCCAAAACAAACTTGTCTCTCTAGTCCAGGGCGAGTGACAACGAGCCTTCCCGCAGGCTCTCACGCCGCCTCGTCCTTCCATAAACAGGACTCTGGAGGACAAGTCACAGTGCGTCTCACACGGGCCCCAGCCTATAGGGGTGTCGGAGGGTCCCGGCTGCTCCCGGCTCCCACTGGAGGGAGTTTTCCGAGCTGCTGTGCAAGTTTGCTTCTGGGGATGCGGGATTGCTGCCCAAAGAGGAAAAGGGTGGGGAAGGATTTGCTCTCTCTTCATTGGCACGTCCCTCCCCGCGTTTATAACCTACACCCCTCACATCACTCAGGGGGGGTTTGCTAGTAATCCGCATTGGAAACCGCTTTCTTGGTTGTCTCTGGCCTCTTGTTATACGCTCTCACTGAGTGAGTCAGGGGAATCACTCCTCTCTCGGAGACTTGAACTTGAGACTTTGTGCCCCACAACAGGCCACATGCGTGAACTGAGTTACATGGAAGCCGAGTTAAAACTCGGTGATGCCAAAGCAAACAAGAGGGAAGGCGGTGCCGTTTCAGTGCAAAGCAGGCCACTTTCTGTTCTTTTCCTCTGTTAGAGCAGCGCCTGAGAAATGGAACACATATAATTTGTTCTCATTTTGTATTAGAATATACTTCAGGAAATGAACATTTTCTCTTCGTACTTTTTATTATATGTAGAACTAAATACAGAAATGTTTATAAATATATAAACCAATTAAACCTCTTGCTGTTTACTAAGGGACCAGCTGTCGTTCGCACAGGAGCGAGAAGTTAGGACTCTGGGGCCTGCAATGACATTTAATGGGTGTGACAGACTCACCGTCAAACTCCGTGGAGAGAAAGCTCCCTGCCATCTGGGTCCCAGCCATGGGACCCCGTTAACCTTTAACCCCACAGCGGTCCGTGCTGGCGGGAGGGCGGGCTGCATTCTGCCACTCGCTGGCCGACGACCACGGGCCTTCATCGTACGCAAGGACATTGTCCAGGCGCCAACGGCGAAGCAACGGACAGAACAGACGCAGACGCAGACGCGGACCTCTGACCTCAGGCAGCTTCCGTCTGGTGCAGAATAAATGGTTTTGAGCAGAGAGGGTATCATTTGGAAAGCTTTTTTTTCTTTTAAACAGCCAATCCAAAAAGGCAGGGAAGGAGAGAGAGAATGCACAGCCCAGGCAGCACAGACCGAAAGGGCACGTTTGGTGGTAGGCGGGCGGTACCGAGCACTCGGGCGCCCTGGCCTCGCACCTGCCTCTCAGGCTCCGCCTCTCGACACACAGTTTTCTCATCTTCAACGGGAATTCACCTGCCTGTCATGAGGAAGAGACACGTCCGTGTGGGCAAAGTGCTGAGAACCATGTCCGGCACAGGAGTGTTGGTCAAGTAAAAGGAATCAGTGTGTTAAATGGAAAGCAACCTCGAGGCTCCAGTGTAAAGAGTCTCACGTCGGACAAAGGCCCGGTGTCCCACTGTGTGCCGTCTGCAGAAGACATATCCAACTCATAAAAGGGGGCAAGGGAAAGAATGGAAAGTATACACCGTGCAGATGCCACCCAGAGGAAGCTGGTGTGGCAAGACTCACCTCCGGAACCTCCAAACTGTTCAATTCAAGAGGATCAACTTCATAATAATAAATGATTCAAGGAACAAATGGTTCAGTTCACCAAGAAGATATGAAGTTTCAAATCTGTGGGACCATAATAGTATAACCTCAAAACACAAAAAAGTTGTGCTGTTAACCCTTCAACATTAAGTTCAAGAACTAGAACGGCACCCTTAGAGTGGGGGATTTCTGAGGCACTTCCCTCTGTAATTGACAGAACAGGTTACCAGCACCAAGATGGACGTCTGAGTAACGTGATTCATAAAACTGAGCCAATGCACACGTACCCGGTCCCTGTGTGATGCACGGTGCTTTCAAGCACTACAGAGAACGCTGCCAAAAGCTGAGCATATTCTGGTTTTATAATGCAAATCTCAACCAGCATCCAAGGAGAGGTACCTACCCTTCAAGTTATGTTCTCTGAAGCCTGCAGTGACACGGGAGCCCAGTCGTGAAAATTCAGACGTCAAGGAAGGCGGCTCTGAACCCACAGAGTAAAGCACGACCCATACCAAGTACTGGGAAGTACGTGCGTCGGTCAGCACTGAACCTTCACACACGCACACCCTGTCTCAGTTTCTGGGGTGTCACTGAAGCTTGACGATGGAGGGACACTTGGGGCTTTCAGTACAAAGAGCACAAAAAATCGGCGAGCACTCTTCTAAGAAGTTTTGGCTGAGAAAGTAGGGCTGTGGCTAGAGGTGGAAGCCAGGAAGTGGAGAGAGGAAGTGGGCGGTGTTACAGCTGTGAGGACACTTACTTGTGCAGCTGACACATGTCTGTTGAGCATCTACCGTGTGCTAGGAGGGCCCCGCCCCCAGGACGCGATCCTGTTAATGAGGAGCTGGTGTCCACCCTGCTTCCTCAAGGGGCTTCCATTCTTATTGCCGGAAGAGACCGGCAACAAGCAGTGAGCTCGGTATAAATTATATGATGTTGAACACGGTACGTGCTGTTTGAAAAAGGAGATGGAGCAGTGAGGTGGGCCGAGGGCTCTCCTTGAACTCTGGCTGCAGGTGGGCCGAGGGGGTGGCCGGGGCGGTTCCTTGAAGCCCCCAGAGGCCAGCAGGGTGTCTGGGCTGACACCGGAGGAAGTGGGTAAAGAGATGTTGAGGACCTGTGGAAATCCTCTTCCTGTCAGTTCTTTATTTTCAGTTAAACTGTTTCCCATGACTCAGAGTATGGGTTGGCGTGTGGTCTTGTGCTGTACCATGGCTTTGGGTTTTCTTTTGCCCAAGCTCGTTAAAATTGGCAGGATCGTTTGCTCTGAACTTTTAACAAACCACGCCCTACCGAAAGCCCCTTGCAGCCAGAGTTCAAGTCGGCAGAGTTCTTTGGTGCCGGCAAGAACCCGAGCAAGCCTGCCCTGCCTCCCTGGGGCCCCTCACTCAGGCCGTGAAGCCGTGTTGGTGGGGTGAGGAAGGGGCGTGGGGTCTTGCGTGTGTGGCTTTGAAGCTCTGTCACGCACCCGTCATGGACACCAACTGTGAGGCCCATTTCTTAACAGCCGACAGTGTGTGTCCTGTTGTAAAACTATGAACGCGTAGCGATTAGCCATGTGCTTCTTCAAGAAGTAAACAGGTTGCGGCCCACGAGACCCACGACGCCAGCTGTAGTTTTGGTTTGTGGGAAGAATGCACATGGAAAATACTAGCATTTTGTTTGTTTTCATTGTCGGGGGCCAAGGGAGGGGCAGGGTTAATTGGTGTGTCCTCCCCCCGAAGACAATGGGAGACCCTGCCCCAAAAGGGCGATCGAAGCTCCCGTAGCAAGTCTCCGGGTTACACGGGCCTTGGGGGCAGAGCTCCTGAAGAGAAGTTCTGGAAGGGGCGCCGGCCCCGACATGCCCTTCCGGTCCACACTCGGACGCGGCCCTCGCACCCACACACTTCCCGAGGCGACTGGACGTGCTAAGTGGCTGGTGACAGCGACCTTCCCACACCTGGCTCACGCTTTCTTCTTTTTTTTTTCAGAGATGCTATAACGAAAATGAAAGACGTTTACCTAAAGAACCCTCAGATGGGAGACCCGGCCAGTCTGGACCACAAATTAATAGAAGTCAGCCAAAATATCGAAAAGCTGCGACTAGAGGCCCAGAAATTTGAGGTATGGGGGAGCTGTCTCCAGGGCAGAGGGAAGTGGCAGGGGCGGGCCCGTCTGTCCCTGGGACGGAGGCCACCGGGAACGCCGGGGTGTGACAGGAGCTGTAAGGAAAAAGGCTCCACCGCCTCTGAGTGTCCGCCTCCGGGCACGTCCAGTTTTAACGGTGTCCTTTCGGACAGGCGCTGTTGCCAGGGGCCTTTACGTGGCTCAGTGTTGTTTTGTAATGTGAGCGTTTGACTTAAGCTTGTCCTGTGACGTCTCGTGTGGCCCGACTGTGACCGGGACCGTCGGAGAATGGAAGGGCAGTTAGTTACATTGGGACACGCCCGTTAGAGGCTCCAGGCACCGGAGCCAGGGGGGTCCCTACTCCCTAAAATGAGTAGGGAGCCCCGCCAACAGCACCCTAATACCTGTTTCCAAGGGAGGGGCACTGGGAGGCTGCGGGCAGAAGGCTTCTCCCCCCACCCCCACCCCAAATTAAGAGACTACAGAGCGTGGAAAAATAAATTAGAAATGATTGTTCCGATCAGTACGGGTTATTTCCATCAATGAGGGGCAAATGGGGCTTTTTTTTACTGTGTCTGGAATCTGTCAATAAGTAATAAACGTTTGAGTTTTTAGAGCCTAGGAATGTCCTTTTCTGATCGTTTGCAATTTTTTGCCTTTTGAACAGTGTAACTGTTCAAGCTAAATAATGTAGTTAGTTCAAATGTTACTGAAGGTAATTTTATCTACTTTGATTTCCTATGTACAAGTTTCTTTACTGTTAAAAAAAAAGCTACACTCCTTAAAAGACAGGAATAGAAAAGGGAAGTGTGGCTTTCATACTGAGTCACCGCTCAAGGGTGACAGTGCCCCCATGTTTCCTGGGGTGACCTCATGGTCACAGAATGGGGGGAACCCCAGAAGGAACTAGAAGTGATTTATCCAGAGCCACACAGCCATTTAATGCCCGAGAGGTCAACGCGCCCCGTGTCTCGCCTGCCCCCTGTGGGCAGGGGCCTCAGTACATCCACTTCCACTTCTCCGGCTCAGGAGGGGATGGAAGCAGCTGGTCACCTTGGGGTCCATTCGTAAAATGCAGAACAATGGGGGTGCACCAGGTCCCCCGTTTGGGGGTCCTGGACCTTCTGTGTCAGATTCCACGATCAAGAGCAGCCCCGACTGGTGGCTCCAGACTCCAGGGTGGGCCCCCCTCCAGCCCCCGAGCTCAGGGTCTCTTGGGGCTTCTGTTTCCAGGCCTGGCTGGCAGAGGTGGAGGGCAGGCTGCCGGCCCGCAGGCAGAGCGGACTCTACGACGCCCAGAGCACCCCGCCGGTCAACAACTGCGCACAGGCCCGGGAGAGGTACAGTATGGGCGCAGCCCTGCTCTCTGGCCAGTGGGCGGCCCTGCTCTTGCTTCTCGGTCCCAGGGTCTGGAAACGTGCATGAGGCACATGTCAGGCACTGTGACAGGGGACCCGTGATTCCCCCACAGGGCGGTGTCTCACGCCACTCGGGAGACGGGGACGTGGGGGCCGTCTTAGTTCCCAGCACTTAGCCCCGTGGGCCGGCCAGGTGGCCTCCTGGGTCGGTTGCTATAGTTGCTGCGGGTTTGCTTTCTTGAGCAGCCCGGATGGCAGTTACACGGAGGAGCAGAGTCAGGAGAGCGAGGTGAAGGTGCCGGCCATGGACTTCGATGATGAGTTCGACGACGAGGAGCCCCTGCCGGCCATCGGGACCTGCAGAGCCCTCTACACGTTTGACGGTAACGCCCTGCAGCCCGTCGTCGGCCACTCACAGCCTGTCCAGACCACCTGCACTTCCTGTGACCTGTCTTAGCAAACCCTCCAGATCTTTCTCTTGTGTCCTTGTTCTGCTGATAGTATCTATTATTATTATTATTATTATTATTATGTCGATGGCTTCATACTTTGCCTTTTGCCATGTAATTGAACACCTTCCACTGAGCTCGGTCACAGCAGGGAGCAGGGAGCGACGTTTATTTCGAGTGTGTATTCTGTATTTGTAAAACGGTCCTGGGAAGACTCTCCAAGGGGTGGGATTCAGGTGGTGCGTGGGAGGCGGTGTCCCTCTCGGACAAACAAAGCGGGCCTGCGTCTAGGACAGGCAGCTTCAGTGTGGAGGGGTCACGGCAGGACGGGGGCCCCTCCCTAAGGGAGTTTCGAGAACTCGGCGCTGCCGCAGATGGGGGGGGCGTGGGCGTGGCCAGACTCGGGGCTGGCGGCAGAGCTCCTAGACGTCCCAGGTGGGGTAGTGGAGTAGAAGACTAGGAAGTAGGCAGTGCCCGTGGGGGGCAGGGAAGAGACTTTCGGAATTTATTTGGCAGACAGGGAGGAGCTTATCGAAAGTTTGTGAGCAAGGTGTTGACCCGGTCAGAGCTGCACCTTGCGACCAGTGTGGTCCGTTAGCAGGAGCAGGGAGAAAACGGGGGTGGGGGTTCGAGGGATGAGCCGGGGCCCCATGAGCACTGCGCCCAGGGTCCTGTGAGTGCGGGTGTCGGGAAAGAAGGGGTCGCAGTCCAGATGCGCTGGGGAAGCCCCGGGGCAGGGGAACGTTCATGGTGACAACACAAGGGAGAGAAGGGCCAGGTGCAATGATCCCGGTTTTACGTCATGTCCACACCACCCCCTCTGCCCACCCCGGACCCCTTCCCACCTCCGGATCCCCATCACCAGCTCCCCAAACAAGTCGCCTCTCAGAACACTGTTGGGCAGTGGTGGCTTGTGCTGTGAATTGACCTTAGCAGATGGCCTTGGGGTCCTCGGGTGAGGGGTGGACACGGAGGCGCTGCCACTGACACCCAGTGCAGACTCCCGGCTGACCGGAGGAGGGCGGAGAGGGCAGGAAGTCAAGGCAGTGCAGCCTGGGACAGGCGGGGTGCCTCCTCCCCTCCAGAGATCAAAGAGGAGGAGCAGAACCCGGGAGGAGGGAACAGCCAGGAGCCCAGGCCCACCCTTGTTCTGTCTCCGCAGTGAGGGCAACATGAAGGTGGAGGTGTGCTCGGGCCAGAGAAGGGGGGGGGCCTGAGCTGCAGACGGGGGCCAGGACGGGGAGAGCACAGGGGGCAGGTGCGCCTGAAGCCGTGGGAGCACTTTCACCCCAAGGGAGAGGCGGGGAGAGGACCAGAGGTGTCCCCCAGGAAAATGCCAGCTGTCCAGGGCAGTGGACACAAGGGCCAGAAGTGGTCACCCTGTGTGGCGGGGCCAGCGGGACCAGTGCCCCTGAGAACCCACCTCCCCCGGGGTCACTGCACCCGGTCGTCGCGAAGCCCTGTGTGCCTGACGGCCCGGACGTGGCCGGAACCCTGACCCATTGTGGTGTTGCCGTTTCAGGTCAGAATGAAGGGACCATCTCCGTCGTGGAAGGAGAAACGCTGTACGTCATCGAGGAAGACAAAGGGGACGGGTGGACCCGCATCCGGAGGAGCGAAGACGAAGAGGGCTATGTCCCCACTTCATACGTCGAAGTCTATTTGGACAGAAATGCCAAAGGTGCTAAGACTTATATTTAATACAACTTAAAAAAAAAACTTTAAAAAACCATTGGAGCTGTTTCTCCCCACAGCTGTGACGGGTGCGGGCAGTGCTCCGAGAGACTGGACAGGGGCGCACTGGCGGCTGCTCTCCCAGCGCGGACGCAGGGGTCTCCCGCCTAACGCCCTGGTCTGGTTTTGACTATGACCGGGTTTTCGCTTGCTGGTGAAATTTTATGTGGAAAGCCACCTGCCAATTCACAACTTTGAAATCTGATACACGTCTCTCTGGCAGCACCAGTAGATAACAAGAGAGTGGCCTGCTAGCATCTGCTCTATGTTTCCGAATTTCAGAGCCCACACACATCCCCCGGGGTGACCCCCTGTGTCTGCCACAGATCGAACGGCCTCAGGGGGTTCCATCCTGTAACTGAGTCCGTAGTCGGCTGAATTTGACAGTCGTGCGCTGTGGAGGAAGTCCTAAATAAAAGCTCCCCCTTCTCGAGTCAAGAAGCGAGTAAGATTCTTTTATTGGTACCAAGCATGTGTATTTCTGGTCGAGGTCATTGTTAGAGCCTGCTGGCCCTGTTACACCTACTTGATCCCAAACCACCAGTTAAAATCTGAGAGAGTGTGGTCGGTCACCCACTGGGTTTTCCCACCGGACTAGCGGTCTCCCTGACGACAGCTGACAGAGCCAACCCGATTTGCGGGTGCTGTTGAGGCAGACTTCTGCGGGAACGGGGCACTTAGCTCGCTCCGTCCCGGCGGAGGTTTTGTGGCACGTGGAGCTGTGTTCAGCTGAGCCTTCGGGCGGAGCTGTGAGGGCAGTGAGCAGCGCCTGGGTCCCCACAGCCCCCGACCCCACACCACTTTGGGAAGGGGGGATTTTAAAAACTCATCGCATCTTTCCGCCTCAAGGTGTGAATTGACTGCAATTCTAAATCGTTTTAGAATTGCTAGCTGGTTTCACAGGATTAACTGTAGCCAGAATAAAACACAGTGTTTCACCATCTTTAAAGGAAACTAGGTCACATGGGGATTTGCATTTGGGAGTTGGCGGGACGGGGAGTGAAACTGTCGGGTGCTCAGACCGGTACCAAACCCAGCGTCCGTGCCTGTCCCGAGAATCCACCCTGAGACCATGCAGAACAGCTATAAACGGGTCAGGGTGAAGGTGTCGGGCTGAGGTTCTCTTTTTATTTGGCTTTGAAAATGACTCGCGTCCTTCCTCCTCTGTAATGGGACAGCAGCCCCTGGCCTCCTCACTGTGGGTCCTCTCACAAGCTCAAGTCAACATGGAGCTGACGGTGAAGGTGGCAGCTACGCCGGGGACTAGGATCGGGGGGGGGGGGGGAATGGGCGCTGGTCAATGATTCCAGCAGCAAGTTCACTGCCATTTCCCACAGGGGCCACCCAGGTGGAACTTAGTGACCTCGAATGAAGGACAGCCTGATTTAAAATAATTACAGAATCTCAGCAACTTGCAGAGCCAGAGCAGAGAGACAGGGGCCCCCTCCCCCCAGTTTTTCCCCTGCACATCCAACAGAGGTGGAAGACAGCAGCACAAGCCAGACACTGATCGGTCAGCCCGGTTTTTCCAAATTTGCAACTCCGAGTTCTTCAGAATTATTACCCTTTTGCTGACACAGTATCAACGAGGCCACTCAGCCTGTGCCAGACCCCTCTCTGTTTTAAGTTTGGGGGCCGGAAAACCGGCTGACCCTGCACCCACGGGGGCTGACTCAGTGAGCGGCAGGAGTCACGGCCTTGGGCCCGTCACGCACGATATGAATGAAGATCTAACCTTTCTAGCCCCCGGGGGTGAGCTCATGTCCAGGCGAGGAGCTACTGGAGGGAGCAAACTGAACGCCGAAGTCTTACGCTGGGACAGGGCCACATTCGCCTTTTAAAAGCATGCCTTGAGAAGCACAGCATTCCATGAAGTTTTTCCTTTGTTTCTTTTTTTAAATTATTTTTTGGGTTTTTTTTTTTTTTTTTTTTTGGTGCTGTGCAAAACTGGTTTAGAAAAGTAGCTCTGTTGGCTTCCTGGCCGGTGTGGGTGCATACATTCTGATTATTTCGTTGTCCCCCAGAACCTGGAGCCCATGAGTCGATGTGAGATTGCCGGACCATATGTTATGGTTCACCTGAAACCATTCCCAAGGAATCGGGAACCTCCCCCGCCTGCTACGGCATACTCTGTTTATCTTCCCCAGTTCTCTGCTCAGATAAAAGTGGCGAAGTCTCCGCTTGGTGCAGAAACTTTTCTCCTTTTGTTTAGAGACACATTTCTAGGTCACCCGTGTGCATGTACAGGCCTTTTCCCTCCCGTGTTCTTGGCTCTGCTCAGCCTCCCCCTGCCACCACCACCCCCCCACACACACACACATGGCGCCCGCCTGACACCTGCCCGGTCGCCCCGGTCACCCCACCCCGGTCACCGCAGTCCGCCAAGGGGGGCGGCTCCTTCTATTTTCAGTCGAGCCTGTGTCCTTGTGCGTGTGTGGCGTCTATGATGTGACTCTTTAAAAACTGCCAAAATGTCAAGAGTACAGTAACTCCCAGTCGGTCAGCTGGGTTGTGGCTGTCTTCTCTTCTGGTTTTGTTTTGTTTTGGAAACTGCTTTCTGTTAAACATGTCCTCAAGTCCTCCCCCAATGTATTTGTATATACTGCCGTTGAAAAACTGAAAGGATTACTTGAATTCGTTGTTTTAACGTTTTACTCTCTTATCTGTTTGTTTTATTGGTGACTCTGCCGCCTAATGACCCTTTAGTCTGTGTAACCGCTGGGGAAGCCGGAAGGACCGTTTCTCGGGTCCCTAGGGCCCTGCCGGCTGCTCCAGACTTGAGTTTATTATAGACACTTGGGTTCTGAGTAAGTTTTGTTTGAATACGGCCCACATGACTGTTTCTCTCTCTTCTCCCCCTAAAAGAAAAGATTCTGTCTGGCACCTTTCAGTTGTACCCTCGTATCCGCCTCTCTAATAAATGTTCTCTTTTTTTCCTCACTGTTGTTAAGTGATTTTTCACCTTCCTGAGAAAATGACTCTGTGTTACAAATATGTAACTCCTTCGTCTTCAGTAATGGGGAACTTCCTAGCCAAATGCTCTTTAAAACCCTGCCCTTTCCCTCCTGACGACACCTTCTGCTTCTCTGCTGTGTGCACCCTCGGGCTTCAAGAGTCTGTCTGTGTGGTTTCTCTCCCCCCCGCATTCCCCCCAAGATGAAGAACTTTCACGGTTTATAGCAAGTAAACATTGGGCGACAAACCTTCCTCTTCGCCGAAGGCAGTGAGTGCACTTGACCGCTAAAGAACCACCGCCTGAGCGAGAGCTGGCCGTCCTGCTCCTTGCTTCCTCTGGGAAGCCGGTCGGTCACCTTTCTGTGTCTCAGACCTGGACTTAGAAAGATGAGCTGGGGTGGGGGCGGGCCGTCTCCTGGGTGGGCTTCCCTGAAGGAAGGATCGGAGACGAAACCGTGAAAGTTCCTTATCTGTGGTATCTTGTGGTAACCAGCTGGGCTCAAGTTGCCCCCTCCCCACCCCCTGCCCCTGGGCGGGCAGCCCGCCACAGAGCAGCAGAAACTGCCCGCCCCCAACCTGGGGCCTGCCGCTAACTGGGGTGTTCTCTCTTTTCCTGCTGTAGATTCCTAGAGGCGGCGCGAGCTGGAGCCCCGGAGCCCTGTTCCCTGGAGAGACCCTTCGGTCCGCTGGTCCCCACAGGCCCGGTGCGGACGACTGCGCTTGGGCTGGGCTGGAGCGTGCCCCGGTCGTCTCGGCCCGAAGCGACATCCCCGCACCATGCGGCTGCTTGCCTTTTCTTTCCTTTTCTTTTCTTTTCTTTTTTCTTTTCTTTTCACAGCATGCTCCTCCATGTGGCCCAGCTCCTCCCTCCCGGGCCACAGTCTGGCCACCTCCCTGGGGGGTAGGGGGGCGGGGGGGGGGTGGGCAGGTCTGTCCCCATCCCAGTCCTCACCCCGTGCAGGACTGTGGAAGGTGGGTAGACACGGGCTCCCCCAGCTCCTGCCCTGGCCCTCAGTCCTCCTGGCCTGGCCTGGCCCGCCCACGGTTCACACTGTGCCTTTTGTGAAAACTCTGCCACTGGCGGTGCCCTTGACTCCCAGCCTCCTGGGGAGACTGACAGAATCGGGTAGGGAGCACCCCAGGTGGACTGAGCGCCTGAGTGTCACTGATGTGGTCCCGCGTCATTTACTCCAGAAAAAACTCACCTATTCCCCAGTCCATCGAGCATTCGCTGGGCCTTTTCTGGTGGCCGGTCCTCACCTCATACTAGACATGGGCCCTGGAGACATGGGCCTGTGAGTGTCAGTGGTGGGCAGGGGAGCACACACACACACACAGATGCACGCACACCCGTGTGTGCACACGGATTCGTTGGGGGCCCTGCCTGCTGTCTCGTCTGCGCCCACCCCTCGTGGGGCTGAGGACCGGTCCCCAGGAGCCGCGCGCCTGGCGAGCGAACGTCTCCCCTGTACGTTGTTAGCTCCTTGCAAAGTGAAAATTCCCCTCTTTCACGAATTCCAGTTTGCATCTTAGGATTTTAGCGCATCCATCACCAAAGACCCTGTGCTTCTTGCAGTCCTTCTAGTGACCCCGTGGCTCCCGCTTCTGCACTTGTCATGAGCTTGCCGGGCCGCGTGGGGTTAACTGAGCTTTCTGAGCCAGTTCCTCTCGTGGACCCCGAGGAAAGGATCCTGAATAAAGCAGTGGTCACGGAGCCTGTCTCCACTCACACTGCCCAGCGGTGCGGCTCCTCCTGTCTGGTGCAGAGACCGTCTGGAGAGGTCGTCGCCCGAGGATAAAATCGGGCCTCTGCCTACTTTGGTTTGGCTTTTGGCAGCTAGGTGGCACGCTCAGTTCCCCTTGATGTTGATGAATCTAAGACAAGGAAGTCCTCTGGGAGCCCAAGGGGCAGGAAGATGGCTACTCTCCGCACACCGGGGCTGACCGCACACCACCCAGCAGCTCAGTCCCCTCTCGGTGACCGCAGCCAGGAGCAAGCGGACGCCTGGGGTATGCAGGCAAAGAGGAAGTGACTTCAGGTTTAGGGCGAGCGAGGGACCTGCCTGGGCCCTTTCTCGCTCCCACTTGCCCAGATGTGGGGCCAGGTCCAGGGGTGCAGATCGCCTGCCCGGAGCCTTGCAGCTGGGGGTCTCAGGGCTGCTGTCCTTGAAGCAGCTTCTGCTCCCCACAGTGGGCCGCCCTTTGTAGCAATCTGTCTCGGGAGGGGACAGGTTTGGCAGGTGACACCGAAGCCAGGATGCCAAAGGTGAGAAGAGCCAGGGCCTCACCTGCATCCCTGCAAGCCAACAGGTGCGTGGTTAATTCGGGCAGGCAGTCCCAGCAGCCCCACTGGGGGTGCCTCCGTCGTGGGGTGATGAGGTCTCCCCGGGACCTGCTGCATTTTCCCAGGCCCAGCCGGCCGCTCTCCACCCCACAAGGATGTGAATGGCTTTTAGAATCGGACCTTGGAGCTCAGCTACGCGTGTGCATTGCTCTCACAGTGGGTCAGGATACACGGATTCCTTGCCACGAAGGGGAGAAGGCGTGAGCTGGGGTGATCTGTTCTTCCAACGTCTGTGGAGCCCAATGTCTGCTTGTGTCCCCTCATGTCCCTGTGCCCTGTTTTTCCTTCTCTACCACCTGCATCCAGAAAAGAATGGACAATGACTGCTTTTCAACCTTCACCTTGGCGTTCGCTCCTCTGCGGATCTGGGCAGCCACGTGGACGGGAGGTGCTGTGCCAACCGGGCTTATTAAAGGAAACGATTATTCTGTGACCTTGCGATCCTGTATATCCTTTGCTCTGGGGCCCCAGCGACATCACCTGCTGTCAATTCCCCACGTGCCTCTCAGTCACCCCGGAGCCCACGGCCTGTCATTTCTCCGCCAATGCGAGAATGTCATCATGTTGTGAGAATGATGAATTGGTGAAGAACCTGCCCCCAAAAGGACTTCAGATGGAAGAGAGGGACTTGTCTTTGCCCCTTGACTCCTTTGCTGGGCGGGACGACATGAGAAGGTGGGGACTGTGGAAGGGGGCGTCCCTTTGTGGGGGTTCTTTCTGCAGCTTCCAGGCTCTGACCCTTCGGCGACATAAGCCCGTAGCTCGTCTCATCAGCAAGAGCACAAAGGCCTCTGGGTAACAGCTGTGACCGCAGAAGGACGTTTACCGGACAGGAAAAGGGTACGTGGAGCCAAGCGTTTCTCCTGAAATTTTAGTTTCGGACTTCTGATGGCTCTGCTTGCAGCGCTCCTGCCGTCAAAAATCCTCTTTAAAAAGCGATCCGAGATCCCATGTCCACCTGCTTGTGGTTCACCTGTGTGTGGCACTGATTCTGAACTGTGGAGGCCCTTCGCTGTGGCCACGTCATGGCCACTGTCCCGGTTCCGGAGTCGCCCGTTTGTCTCTGGAGGTAGAATTAAACCAAACACCGTGTTCCGTCGGAAGGCTTCTGTTGACCTTGTAACTACATGTTAATCCTCTAAATGTTAAATAAAAGCCTGACTCGTGGCTGGGTGTCACGGCAGTGTCGTGTTGCGCGTCACAGAAGCAGGCGGAGAGCCTGGGGCTGGGGCCGGGCTCCCGTCCGCACCTGAGTCACCGGGGAAACCCAGCGCAAGTCACGTCCTCCCCGGCTTCCCTCCCTGGTCTTCGTGGGGAGGGCCTCGGGCCCTGCCAGCTCTCCCGCCCCCGCCCACAGGGGGAGAAAGGCTGTCTGACACCTGGGTGAGGCGAGGAGGACTCGGCCGGACTCCAGGGAACTGGGGAGGCTTCCGAGGGCCAGGAAGGTCTCCTTTGCAGGCACATTCAGCGGCAGCTATTCTCAGTTTTCAGGGACCCTGCTGGTGTGTGTGTGGGGGGCACTTCATGGGCATCTGGGCCACAGGGCTCATGTCCACCCCCTGGGTAGCTTGGCTGAAGATCACGGGTTCCGTGAAGCCGCAGGCAGTGTGCCGCTGAAGCGTGGGGGCCTCGTGGCAGCCCTGCGTGTGAGCCCTGGGAGGCCCTCCAGCCTGGGAAGTCTCAGCTGGGCCTTCGAGGGCGGTGGGGGGCGGGCCCGAGACTGGTTTGTTTCTGCACCCCTTTGTTTCCTCCGGGTCTTTGCAGCGCCTGCACCCACGCCCGTGTGTGGCACCGCGGCAGAGCTCTTGCTAACACCAGTGTGGCCTCACCGCCTGAGGGTGGAGGTGAGACCAGCCCTCCTGCGTGTGGCCTTAGCCCCTCCCACACAGGGCTGTGGCCGCCATGGCCACTGCCCCAGGAGCCTGCTGTGCCCTGCCGCCGGGGTGGACTTGGGCAGCCAACGCTTCCCACCAGCCCAGCAGCCGTGGTTCCCAGTGAGAGACGGTAAAGGGAGCCAGGTGACTTGGTTATCCTGAGACCTCTGGTCTAGCTTGTCCCCCAAAAGTTTAATCTGGGAAGAATTTTCCAGCATGTTCTTTCTGGCCTTTGTCTTGCTTTGGGAGTAGTTGGTCTCCGTGTCAGAGATGAAAGGTGTCCCCCGATTTCACGCAGAGCCTCCCTTCCCTGAAGGACCTGACAGGGCTGGGGAGCAAGTGGGGTGTGTGCCTGGGGCCACGTGGGCCCACTCTGGGGGGAGGGGGAGGGTGCAGCGGCCTGGGGCGCTGCTGTGGGGAGGGAGGCCGCTGGCGTTGAGTGTCTCTGCTTCGACCCTACACTGAGCTCTCTGGTCTGAATCACAGACATGCTGCCCCCACTCGTTTGAGGCATTGGAGGGTGGCACCCGTCCCAATCATTCACCTAAGTCTTCTGGTGACCCGCTTCTGCCCCTCTGGGGTTGGGAACAGGTGGTGGCCACACCCTGGGGCGCTCTGCAAGGCTGCCTCTGCAGAGGGGGCCCCACCCACCAGACCTGTCCAGCCAGGCTGGGGAGGCCCCTGTGGGAAGCTCCTGGCCTCACCCACTCGCTCCCTACGTGCGGGCCACACCCAGGCCTGGCTGCAGTGCACACAGGGACTGTGGCGCCCCCTAGTGGAAGAGGAGTCTGAGCCGGGAGAGAACTTGGTCCCCATCAGGGTGACCTGGAAAGAAGTGGGAGTGGCCAGAGGCAAGGGGTTCAAGTGTGCCCTTCCAGTTTTTTATGAAAGCAAAGGGATCTCTGGACTTGTGACAGCCCGGAGCCCCGACTCTGAACTGCTGCTGCAGGGGGAGGTGCACGTCTGTGTGCGGGAAGCAGGAGCCATAAAGGCAGGCCTGGCTCAGGCGTCCTGAGTGTGAGGGAGATGCCGTGCTACCAGCGCCCTCTGAGACCGGGATTTAAGTGCGAAGATTGCACACGGGCTCGTCCCGTGTGTGTGTGGGGGGGGGGGAGTTCTTTCTCCAGTTTCACCCCTTTGGCACTGATTTAAACACTTCTGTTCTTCTGGGACGGTGAGTGACATTTACTTAAATGACGCCCCCTTAGCTGGGGACATTGCTGAACCACAAAAGGTGCTGAGAAAGGCCCCTGTGCCTCTGTCCTCAGAGCCAAAGGGCCCCGGAAGCGGGGGCGGGGCGGCAGGAAGGGTCCCTGGCGGCCACAGCACTCTGCCCCTGTGTGCCGGTCCCCCACCCCGACAGCAGGCCAGCCCTGCCCAGTCCTTTAGAACCCTGTCCGCAGTTCCTACTCGCCAAACACCCCCTGGTCTGGCTGCTGTCCAACCCAAGGCCTGGGGCTGCTTTCCTACACACGGGCAGAACGCCGATTGCCCTTTCTCACAGCTTTTCCTAAGGGCAGTGGCTCCTTCAGCCTGCCCCTCGCTGCTGGGGGTGACGTTGTGGCAGGGAGAGGAACCCGAGGGAGGAGGCCCGACTCCGAAACACGGACTCCTTCCCCGGAGCCTCTCCCGGGCTCAAAGTGAGGCTGCACGAGACTCGCAGGGAAATTTATGTTTGCTTTGAATTCAGAGCAGAAAGGAAGTGGCCTGTTTTGGGGTGGGCGGGGGGCTGTACATGGCACATGCGTGTTCGATGCAGGTTTATGAGCAGCAGTGCGGGCAGGAGGAAAGGCCTGTGGGCACAGGGGGCAGCTAGCCCTGCACCTGCCCGTCGGCCGGGGGGTGGCTCTGCTGGAGGGTGGCCCAGCCTGGCCCAGCTTGTCCGGAAGGAGGGGGACAGTGCGTGGGAGAAAGAAGACAGGAGGTCACCGGTCCCCGGTGCTTCCTGCCTCCGCCCAGTCTGCGAGGTGGCCGACCACAGCCTCCTGTTTTGTCTTTGGGCTCCGGCACCTCAGTTTGGCTGAGCCGCTTTAAAAGCATGGTGTTTGGAGCAAATATGGAAAGTTGGCCTCACCAGCATCCAGAGGCCAACTGGTAGCTCTTTCTTTCTCCCCTTCCTGTAGAATAAACGTCTCCACGCCTCCAGAATCACTCAGTGCTCCAGACGAGGCGCTCCCCACCCACCACCCAGGTCCCACAGAAAGAGCCCCTCACACGGCACAGCTCCACCCGTGCCCATTCCTCATGGGAGTGCGCTTCCGCACACTCAAGTCCGAGAGTAAAAATCTCGGTCTTCTCCCCCAGACCCAGCACTTTGAACGAAAGCAGCCCCAACCGCAGGGCCCCTGACATAGCAGCATTGCCAGGTGTGACGGGACATGCTGACAGCACCACACTGCGGGACTGGGGGCACTGGGGAGGGACCGCTGCCCAGGCCGTGGGGCCCTCCGGGGTCTGGGAAGGGTAATGCCTGCTCTGTGGCACCTAGTCTGTGGTGTGGTCTCGTGGAGGGGACCGGCCTGTGGACATGCTGGCCTGTCCCCCAACCACACCAGCCCACTCGTGAGGCTGGTTCCAGGAAGGAGCCCCTGGGGGCCGCGGTGTTTGAAGGGGCTGGGCCCCCACCTCGCTCCTGCACCCCCAGTGCACCCTGGCTTCAGAGCCCAGCAAGGCCCCGCCTGTGTAGTCACTGGAACATCAGTTGCAGGGGTGATCGCCCCTCTTCCCCCAGCGGGCGCCAGGCCTCCCTCTGGTGACAGAGACGACAGTGAGGGCTGTGGGGGCATGTTTGGATTTATTCTGCCATCCTGAACGCGGACCAGACCCCGCAGCCGTGGGCCAGATTCCAGCCTGCATGGTGGCATCTCCCGTCACACACAGGTCGCTGTGGCGGCAGCAGCAGCTTTCAAAAGACCGGTGAAGGTCAAGAGATCCCAGCAGTGGCTCACCCTGCGGTTGCGGCCGCGCCAGCAGGGCAGGTGCGGGGCCCAGGAGACGAGGTCCCAGGCCTGAGCGGCAAGTTGCAGGAGGAGCTTCGGGGTCTCTCCCAGAACCGCCTGCTGGGGTTTCTAGGACAGCTGCTTCTTCAGAGACTGAGGGCCTCGGTCCCAGGACCCCCCAGCCCCACTGTGGCCTGACCATGTCGTCCAGCGGCCTCCGTGCCCCCAGAAGCACTGCCTGGTGGTCCGGGGGTCCCCAGCAGTGGCCTCACTCAGCATCCAGACGACAGCTCGCAGGACCTCGGGTGACGGCTGCCCCAGGGCCACACCTCCAGGCCCAGAGCCTCTGCACGGCCTGGCCACGGGGGGAGGGGGTGCTCTTCTCCAACGTCGGCCCCTCGGAAGCTGCAGGAGCAGCACGAGCTGGCAACACGAGGTATTTCTGTCTCGTCACCCGTCCCGGGTGGGGGCCAGCTCCACGGCACAGGGTGAGGGGACCGGCTGCCTCCAGAGACAACCCCTCTCCAGTCCGCATCTCGAATGCGCCCTTAGTCACAAAAAAACAGAGAGCAGCCCAGCCTTCGGGACCACGGGGAGGTGCAGGGTGAGGCGGGGCCTCGGGCGACACTCGGTGCGGGCACCCTGCACGTCCATGGGTCTCGGGGTCCGGGCCAGGTGACCACGGGAAATGCCCGTGAGGCGGCAGCCCCTCCCAACCCTGTCCCAAGGCCACAGCCCAACTGAGAGCACAGAGACAGAAGCTGGGCCTGAGCTAGCAAGAGGGCGGGTTGGGGGGACGTGATAACCAAACGACGACAGTGACGTGTGGGCACTTCCAGGACGAAGACCCAAGTCCGCACCGCGGTGCCCGGTCGTCGACACCAGCCTGACGTGGGCACAGTCCCCAGTCCCGGTGCTGCCACCGGGAGGCTAACAGCTCCCGCCTCTCGCACACCTGCACTTCCACAGCACCGCCCCCCCCTTCCAGGCACTGGCACACCGTCTGCGGGGAGTCACCCAGCCCGGCGGGACCCAATCGAGGGTCCTTCCAAATGGCCTCGAGGAAGGTGCATTCAGGGGCCAGCACTCAGGGGACACGAGAGGGTCTCTGGACAAGGAGGAGGGCCGCGCAGACGGCCCTGGCATCACAGGGCCCGGGTCTCGGCTTCGATCTTCTGCTCCCCGTGCAGACTGTCCGGGTCCTGCGGCTGGGCCACGCTCTGCCGCATGGCGATCTCGGGGCCGCCACCGTACAGGCCGTGCAGGTAGGCCCAGGTCTCCTCTGAGATCTGCCCATAGTCAGCACCTGCGGGGCCCCAGAGGCCATCATCGGTCGGGCCGAACTCTCCCTCAC